CTCTATAGAATGAGTCTACTAAAATTCTATAGAACTTTTTCAGCTTGGATTGTTTATTATGTCTATAATAAATGTTTTCAATTTAAGAAGCAGCCGTTATTGTCAGCGCATTTTATAAAAATTGAGTTGTTTTATTATTTCGTATTGCCGTTATTTTCAGCGCTTCCTTATAAAATATTGTTAAATTTTTGTTAATTATATTGAGAATATTAAAATTAAATTTAAATATGATATTGTAAATAGAAGTATTAGATTTTATATGCTTCTTCATATATTTTGTTTGAAGGAGCATCCGTTATTTCCAGCGCATCCTTTCAAATTGTCAAAAATGTTATTCATAACTGAAATTTTTTACAAAGGACTATATATTAGTTTTATAAAACTTCTGTGTATACTATGTTTTTTGTATATATCTTTCCCTCATCCTTACTTTTATTTTTATTTGTGATTCTTATGTAAGAATCTTTATTTAACATTATTTAAAAATTTTTTTTATATGTTGCTCTGGATAGAGCAACATATAATTGCCCATGACTGAAAATTGGTGTTGGTAAATATACACCTACTTTTTTAAATGATTGACCTTGTGATTTGTTTATAGCCAATGCAAACCCTAGCCTAACTGGAAATTGTTTTCTAGTCATATTAAATGGTATTTCCTCATTAGAAGGAGATAAAACAATTCGTGGTAAGATTACAATTTTACCTTTCATATTTCCAGTTATTATTTTTCCTGTAATAGAAAAATCATTCATCCCCATTATTTTTAATCTTGTTCCATTACATAAACCTCCTTCTATATTTATGTTTCTTAAAAGTATTACTATTGCTCCGATTTTTAATACTAATTTATAAGGTGGAAGTCCACTTGGAGTTAATGAGTTTAAAAATTCAATTGGTATTACTGTATCTATGTCATTTTCGTCTGCAGATGAATCTATACTTAAGTATTCTCTTGATTTACTTTTTATTTTTTGAAGAATATTGTTATTTAATTCGAATACATAATTATTTCTTGGGGCCAAAATAACTTTTTCATGAATGTTATCATCTTCTACATGTATTGTATTGCCATATATTTCTTCAATAATATTATTAGAGAGTAATTCCTTTGGAATATTTATTACATAACTGAGACAGCTGGATTGTTGAATTTGAACATCGAGGTGGATGGCCATTCTCAACCGTTTAGCGTCAAGGTCCTTAGATCAGTAGTACAAGATATAATTTTGGGTGTGGATTTCTGCAAAGCCTGGAATATGGAGGTACAATTGGGACTGGGGTTATGGAGAGTTTTCAATGGCGACTGGCATGTTTTTGGCGTCAAGGATGGGATTGAGAGTGATGAGTCGATCTACGCTGAATGCGCTGGAATCTCTGCGTTGACGTGGTGGAGAAAACGTACAATCGAGTGGCGAGAGAATATTACTGGAAAGGAATCTGGAATGATGTCCACCAGTATGTCACTCGATGTCCCCAGTGCCAGCTTCACAAAGCATCACAAGCTGGACCGGCAGGACTAATGGGACAGAGGATAGTTGAGCGACCATGGGCTGTATTAACAGACAATGGGAAGAAGTTCGACAACAAGTTCCTCAAGGAAACGCTTCAGGAATATGGTGTCAAACACATCACCACACCACCCTACTACCCGCAAGCTAATCCTGTGGAGAGGAGTAACCGCACATTGAAGACCATGATTGCGACTTTCATAGGGAATGATCATCGCGACTGGGATCTTCATGTTCACGAGTTTCGCCATGCTATGAACACTGCGACACAGGTGGCGGCTAAAACGTCTCCCGCATTTTTAAATTACGGAAGACATCCTCGACCGGTTAAAAGTTTGCGACGGGAGGTAGAACAACGAGATCAGGTTAAGAGAATTGCGCCAGAAGATTGGGTAGACAGGGTAAAGAGGTTGGATGCGTTGCGAGACTTGGTAGCGAAATTTATCGACAAAGAACGTGATCGACAGACCGAGTACTATAACCGTAATCGACGTGAGGGGTTGTTTAATGTGGGTGATCTAGTACTCCGTAAATCACACAAATTGTCGAGTGGTACACGGAATTTCGCGACAAAACTCGCACCGAAATATAAAGGCCCCTTCGAGATCGTGGAGAAATTATCACCTACAGTTTTTGTCTTACGCGATAACGAGAGTCGTCGTATTCCTAAAATCCATGTCTAAGACCTTAAACGATATCTCCCCCTACGAACTCAGTAAATTTTACTAATGATAATATAATTTTAGATTCGAGGAGGAATTTCGACAAGGGTAATATGAGACAAAGGGAACGAGATCAACGACAAAAGCTTCAAGGACCTTGGACAAAATGTAGTTCTCCATGTAGTCGACAAGGGACGGACAATTTTTCGACTTGGGTTTTGGTGTTTTGGTTAGGCGTTACTGCTGGGAGTAGTAACGGCCTAGGGGGGAGGTGTTTGTGACGAAGTAATTCGTCACAAGGCAATTTTCGACTCGGGTTGAGTTTCGCGCGTTTGGAGTTTGGAGCCGAGACAACGCAGGAGTCCAGGAGGTGGCGCCATCGCGGCGGCCACTTATGGAACGAGACGGAGACGAAGGCGATCGAAATGGAAGATCAATGCGATATACACTGAGAGCGTGTGTCGAGAGATTAGTTAGTTGTTTTGTTTTTGACTAAGAAAAGTGTCGTGTGACGCTGTAGAGAGTAGCGTGTGTAAAGAAGGAGTCGAACGGAGTTCGACTCAGATAAAATAAAGAAAAGAAAAAGTGTGAAAGTGTGCCTTTTTTCTTAATCAGCCCATTTTCCCGACTCCGGCGTGTTTTTTCCGACCACGAGGACCTGCCGAGAGGAAGCTGTGTGCTGATTTTGTCGTCGTGGGTAAGTCCAATTTTGTTGTGTCGTGTCTCAAGGGTCGTGTCCCTTTTTGCGACTTTCGTTTTCAACAGAATCTCCTCTGAGATTTAATTTGATTAATTTGAGTTTTGGGGTCATTTTGTGAAATTTGTGATTTTTCTGGTTTGCAAATTCCATTCAAAAATTGGCTGGCGTCTAACAATTTTCACGTTGGGTTTTCTTTTTGTAACTTAAAAAGGGGTTATTGATTAACAACATTTAATTAATTTAATAATTTCGTTATAATGTATTTATTTTATTTATTTATTTATTTTTAATTTTAATCAATAATAATTTTCATTATTTTTAATTTAATTTTTCACAAAATTATTTTAAAATTTCTTTACTTGAATAACCTGAAATCTTGAATCCTAACGATCTTAGGTTATGAAAGTTAAGAAATTTCTATATAATTATGTGAAAAATTTATATTTCTTTTTAAAAAATAAAAAAAAATTTCAGAATTTTAAAATGAATTTTACCAGAATTTCCAATAAGAATTTCGACAGAAATTCCAAGGAACACTTTTCTGGGAATTTTTTCTCGTAGGTAGAGTTAAGAAATATATTTTGTAAATATGTTCAATGGATTCAGTTTTTGTTTCATCAAAAGAAAAATTATTTTAAATTGAAAAAGTTTTAGTTTAGTTTCAAGTAAAATTTAAGTATATATTCAACATATCTTTTTAACAATGTAAATTTTTCTTATATTTTTAAATAACAGAGTGGTACAAGAAACATTATTTCTACATTATACCTTTGGTTTTAAAGGAATAACTTCACCATAAATTTTTTCAAAAAAGTCTACATGAAAACTTTGTATGTGTCTCTTGATTCCAGAAATATTTGCATTTTTCATTTTTATGATTTTCTCTAATCCTTTAGTTTTTTCGCAAAGCGTACATTTTGCAAATTTTTGGCCATTATCATCTTTCCCATATATAAAAATTGTATTTAATTTTTCTGCACGATCATTCCTGGGTTTTTGGAACTTCGAAGTATTAGCTGCATCACTATTCATTTGATAAAAAGTAATTAATCTACAACTGTAATACTAACCTTCTTGTGAGTTAAGAGTAAGAGCTAGTCCATTGTCACGCGCCCATCACGGTGCTCTAGAGTGAATTTGAATAAAATTTTTAGGTAACTCAAATTTTCTAGTGGATTATGTCTCTAGGTGGTATTAGAATGAAAATAAACGTTAAATTAAAAAAATTTACTTGGCGCTTTTTTTGGTAGCGAAAATAAGTTTTTTTGATTCATTTTCAAACTTTGATCTATAGCTTCTTTTGAAAATAATATTATCACTCTAGTAATGCATTTTAAAATTAAAGTTTACAGTATATTTTGCTAGAAGCAAATGTTAGCTTTCAAAAAATAGCTTGTTTAGGGTACTAAAATTATATTTTTCTGGAAATTTTGAATTTACAGTAGAATCTCGATTATCCGAGATTCCGTATTATCCGAGGCACCGAACACGAGGTGCATGCTCGGATAAAACGGATGGAACCGATATGCATTAACAAAACTTAGACCCAAAAGTTACGTTTATTAGATTTCAACTTTTATATATGTTACGGGCAATGTGCGGGAGGCGGGCAATGTCCGAGAATGCCCGGGCATTGTCGACAATGCCCAAAATCAGTGGGCATTGTCGACATTGCCCTGTTTTTTTCGGTCAATGTCGAAAATTATTTATAAAATTCTGTTTTCTGGGCAATGTCGACAATGCCCAGTCCATTTTGGGCAATGTTGAAATGCATAAAATTTTTTAATAAAAAATAATTTGTAATATAAGTAAATATTTCATCACTTGTTAAAACTGAATAATTGAATAATATAATCAATTTAACGCTGTTTACTAAATTCTGAAGAATTTTTATTTGTGCAGTCAATTCAATGGATTTATTTGCAATCATTTTGTGTGCCCCAAAAGGAGGACTTTTCGTCATTTTACGATATCAAACATAAGTATAGACTTCATTGTGATACTCGGCTGTAATTCTTAATTTTTAATATTTAATGTACTAAAATAATGTTTTATAATTGTAAAGAAAAAAGTTTTAATAAATTTTGTACTTAATTATCAATTAATTTTATTATTTCTACAAAAATATTAATTAAGGTGAGAAAAATTTATTTGATCAACGCTTTGTTAGTACAACAAATTATTTTGCTGTCAAAAAAACGGACAGACAATTGTGCTTACATGTCTTGTGAGGAATATGAAAGTTACATTAAAAAAGTGGACCAATTAAAGTTATGCGAAAAAAAGGATTCGAGGAGTTACAGATTTTTAAAAAAATACGACACAATTTCCGTGAACGGAAACAAGAAATTAATTAGACCTATTAACAGTGACAGTGAAAATAAATATTTCGGGCATTATTTTCTAATAACATGTTACTTATTTATGATAAACAACATTGCCCAAAAATTAGTGGGCAATGTCGAAAATGCCCGGGCATTGTCAACAATGACCGGGCATTGTCAACCTTTTGTAAACGTTTTTAAAAATAAGTGGGCAATGTCGACAATGCCCACTGATTTTGGGCATTGTGATTACAATAGTTTGAATTTGTGATATGAAAAATGATGTAATTTTGTATACATGTGTATCTTTAACGTTGCGTTACATTATATTTTGTTGTAAAAAACTATAGGTAATAAAAATTAATGAACATTAAGAAATTTAGTTCAGAATACAGATAGTTTATATATATTTTAGAAAAAATTTAATGTTTGTTTTAATAATTCATTTTTTTGACTAAAATGGAATTCGTACAAGAACATGTTCCAAATGTAATTCAAGAAAATGTACATGAATCTGCACAAGAATATACATACAAGAACATGTACATTTTCTTGTGCAAAATCTGATACTAGATTTTAAGGGCGAGTGACACCTTTGAGGTCTCTTTTGAACCTGTTTTTTACGAATTTTTTTAAGACACAGGAATAAAGTAAACAAAATTTGGTTTTGAGGACTTTATTTGTTAACTTTTACAATTTACGAAAATATATTTATACTTAAAAAAATTTTCAATTTGTTGCTTATAGAGAGCGCCAAAGTTGATCCCCTATCTCTGCAGGGCAAATCGGTGGGCAAGATTCCGGTTAGACCGTTTAATATAAATCAAAAATTCAAATTTTTTAAAAATCTGTGATAGATTTAGCTTTAGAGTACGTAGGATATTTTAAAAATATTAATTTTTATGGATTTGGCAGCTGTTTAAAGAAAAAAGTCAATTTTTAGGGCGAAATTTTTTCAAAAAATCTATTGCCAAAAAAAAACAAACCAAAAAAAATCCGCTACGTACTCTAAAGCATTAGTAAATGACGATCAAAAAAACTTTGGTCGAAGTCAATCCGATCAAAACTATTCGAGCTAGACTGCCCACCGTTTTGTAAAATATCATTACGAGAAAAATGTTTAAAGTTTTAACAAGCACTCGCAGCGCTCTTGGACACCTTCTGCAGATTTCGATTTTTTCACATAAAATAACTTCGAAATCACTTATGATATAATTTCTAATGTATAGGGTCATTTGGGGAAAATGTAAACAAGGGGTAAATGTAAATAGCAGATATTGCAGCTTAATTTACAGACTTAAAATTAAGTTCGACCCCAATATTTTAACCTCAGCTCACCTGCAACAGGTTCTGAGTATTGCCAATTTTTTTTTCGACAATTGTCAAAGCCATACTCCAATTTGTCGCTTAATGCATGAAAGATTGAAAATCAAAGTTTTACTGTTTCAGTATTTTGTCTCGCATTTGAATAAAAATGAACTAAAAATTCAAACTAAAATTTCTAATTATTCCTTATGAATCCCTTAACAAAAGCTGACTTTGATTTTTTAATTTCGTCAATTCAGTTACTAGATAATTAAGTGTTGTGACGTGGCACCTTTTTTTTATATAAACAAAACTATTAAAATTTCTTAAACAAATTTGAGTCCGAGTTGTTGCTGCTGTTGGTTGCAACTGAGATTCCCAGCTCAATGGTCATTAATGTTTTTTTTTTGAATTGTTTGTAAACCCTCTGTTATTCCCTTTCATGAACATAACTGCAAATTGTGCCCCGGACAACACGAGAAGCCAACCACTAATTCACCGCAGATTTTGAAATTCGCACTGTGAGGATTTGGAAATACTGGAAGAAATCAACTGCAACGTCGGAACGCATGCGCCACTCCGTCACTTCCGCCCGCAACTAAGAGGAAGATACCACCGTAGTTAACTCCGTATCGACTCTTTATTGGAAATCGACCAACCCTGGACTCAACCTCCACATGTTAACCGATAAAAGGATCCCTCGTCTAGGAATTATGTCCGCTATTTATTAGTCTACACAGAATTCGAGGAAGCCATCCTAGAGGAATAATTAACAGTAGGCAATTCCACTGTCAATTCTCTATGGTATTAGAGACGCCCCTTGCCCAGGACCGTATAATCTCTGGCACATTGGCCATGTTTCCCTTTTCCCTTTTTAATCACAATAATCGAATCTATGTTGCCATGTCCCAGATCCAGATTATACGGAGGCCGACGACAGTGAAAATTAGCAGCCCGGAAAGCAAAGAAGAGTGAGTGTGAAATCACAAAAGGAGAACATACCACAGGTCACTATTCTCCACCTGTGATCACGTCACTCGTTGAGCGTAGGGATACGAGTTGGTCATGCAAAGACACCGGGAAAATGTGCGGAGAGGGGCGAGCGAGCCTACGTCACGGCAAAAGCCAAAAGATTCTCCCTCTTTTCTTCGCAAGCAGCAAACAGCAACTCGGAAGTTTGTGTACCGAAAGTCTCCTTTTTTTTCTATTCGTAGGAACAAATAAGTTAAAAGTGAACACGATCCAGCTCGATCCTGCCGAGAAGTCCTCGCGAGAGTATTTTCTCCGAAATAAAGTAAGTGCCTCTGACATATTCCCCAAAATTATGTCATTTGCGATGTAATTTAAAACAGGTGGTTTGGCCGGCCTCGTGGTCGAGCGAGTGTTGTGAATCCCTTTTTTTTGTGCACAACTGTGCTCTTGTTTCCTTTCGAAGAATAATCAATGAAATAGCTTCATTGATTTTGATTATTTAATTCGAACTATTAATTCTGTAATTCTCTGGCCCTGTTTGGCTCTCACTCTCGCTCGACCACGCTGCTCGGATTTCTCAGTCAAGTAAGTTATTTTTCATGTTAATATTACATTTCTTTTGTTTGTTCCCCTTATTATAATGTGTTTTTCCCTTTTGTGGATGTGTCCCACTTTAACCCAATTATAATAAAATATTCGTGAGTTTGTCCCACGAAATATTCATTTTGTCACTCAATTCGACTATTTTCCTCGTGATGAACGACGAATAATCTCGTGGAATGTCCCACGAGAATGCCCCAAATGTCCCTAAATGTCCCACTATGTCCCACACTGAAAATGTCTAAGACCCCTGAAGTCTTTTACCCTATTGTATATTATTGGCACCTCTCCCGCCCCATATTTGCTGAATAAGGACTTTATTGTGTAAATCTTGATATAAATTATGCGTATTTTCTTTTATTGTAAATTAGATATATTTTGCTTGTACACATTTTGACTATTTGACCTGGGAATTCGTTTTGCGAAGAAAGATGCCATTTCTGTTGCTTAATTTAAAACTTTTGATTTTTATTTGAAAATTGTATAAAATTTGTTTAGTGTTGCGTCCCTGATGTCGCGGTTTTATTGTTGTAGACTTTCCTTGAAATGGCTCTTAAGGTTATTTTACACTCGTTTTATGTCGTGGTCAATACATTTTATTGTAATCATCTTTTTATTGTAAATATTAATTTTGAAACCTCCTGAATAAATTGTCAACTGATTTATTTTATACTGAATGTGATTTTCTCGAACCCTGACCTTCTCCCTGAGTTACCAATACTTTTGTCGTTTCTCTCACGCATTTCGTTTCTACCTTCAGTGTAATTTTATCGAAAATTAGTAAATTTTGGTATTTTATTTATTAATTAATTCGATTATTTTTTTTTATCGTTTCTTTTAAGTTAAATTTTGATTCACTCTTGATTAATGTCTTGCTCAGGTACGTAGGAATCCTAGAATAAGAGTGAGTGATTGGTTGATTGATTGATAGATTGTTTGATGCATTGATTGATGAATTGATTGGTTGATTGATTTATGGATTGGTTGATTGAGTAATTGGTGGATTTATTGGTGGATTGGATTGATTGGTAGATTGATTAGTTGATTGGATAATTGATTTATTGATTGGTGGATTGCTTGATTGATTGATTGATTGGTGGATTGATTGATGGATTGATTGGTTGATTGATCCGCCATTTTGAAAATTTTAAATTTGTCTTCAAATTCGTATTCAGTGACCTCAAAAACCCCCGAGTAGCGAGATTCAAGCAAATTTGATCAATTTTTAACAATATTTTTATGTTTGTCCGCCATTATAGATCCGCCATTTTGAAATTTAAAAATTCGATTTTAGAATCTTATTCAGCAACCTTAAAAACTTATTTTCACCAAGTTGAATGAAAATCTATTAAAATTTATTCAAGTTATTCAAGTTTTTACATTACTAGTTTTGTTATGGTAATGATTGCTTATTTTATATGTTGCATATCAATCAATTGGTTCAATTATTTTACATCTACCAAGAATTTTTTTTCATTTTTTACATCCCTTTACACAGTAGTAGACTTGGGATAACTTTTTTCTTAAACCTCTTTAAACTGCAGGGGTGTTTACATTTACCCCGATAATTTTGGGAAAATTTCAAAATCTCGGGGTAAATGTAAACAGTCCGTTTTAAGCGATTCAAGTTGATCAATATTTTTTTGTACCTCATAAAATGTTTCTAGGGAAGTGAAGTAACAAGTTCATGCAGTAGAAAACCGGAAGTATTGCTTTTTAAAATAAAAAACTTACGTTATTGTCGAAACTAAGCAAATCCGTTTACATTTACCCCAAATGACCCTACATCATAAAATATCATTTAAGAAAAAAAATCGATTTTTTTCGGGTCAAAGGTGTCACTCCCCCTTAATTAGTATTTGATTAATATTTATCAATTAATTAATATTTATATTAAATCATAATAGAACTGTTAGTTAAATAAAATAACAAATAAATTATTTGTTTTCTTCTCAACTTTATGATTTGACTTATAATTAATTAATTAACGTTAGTTTCACTTTTTCGAATTTTGCAATCTTCATTCGTATATGTTGATTGCTTGTCGACTAATTCACAATTTTCATTTATTGAATGACTTTCTCTCCATGTAACTAAAACATCATCAGTACGGTATCTTTGTTCGCATTCAGTATCTTTCCACATTGTAGCACCTGAAGTTTTATATTGCAATAATCCTGCTACTGCAATCATAACTCCATTATCAATACAAAATCGTTCATCTGTAGCATACAATATTGCACCCCTTTCTTCACACATGATACGCATCATATCTTGCAACCTCTTGTTACATCCAACACCTCCAACAATCAATACGTTTTTGGATCCCAGATACGCCATTGCTCTCTCTGAAATTAAAAGAGAATGTATAATATTCGATAGGGATAAGATAAATATAAATTTTCAAAAAATTAAAAGGCAGCGTAATTTAACCTGTTATTTCAATTAGCATTGAAAATAATGTCTCTTGAAATGAGAAGCATAAATCTTCTTTTGTGAATTCTCCAGATTTAAGCCATTTTTGTAAACGTTCTTGCACATACGTTAAAATACCAGAAAAAGAAACATCCATTCCTTTCACCACGTAAGGCAATTTTAAAAACTTTTTACCTCTGTAAAATTGAATAAGTTGAAAATACATATATATCTCTACTTGGAAGTGTAAAAATTAATTAATGTTATTAGATCTTGGCTAAATTTAATGTCAACGTAATAAAATTCACTTATTTTTATAAAATGTAAAGGAAACGTAATTTTTTAAAATTTCCAGACAAAAATAAATTTTTAAATAAATGTAAAACTTTTTTAAAAAATTGTAATTTTAATAAATACAAAATTTCAAGGACTACACTAGCTTTATTAATTACTACATAGAGAATAAGGATTTACTTGTGTTTACATAGTACATCAGAGGTAATTTTTTTAAAACTCAAATTGATGGTCCTAATATGGTCGAAAACGGGGATTCTTGGAGTCGCGGGTTACAAATCTGTTGCCAGTTTTTCAAAATTTCAAATGTCATATCCAAAATAGATGAAGTTAATTTTTAAAGCCATTTAAATTTGCTTGAAACTATTGATAAATTAAAAAATTTTACGTTGAGGGTGGTTCTAACGCTTAAACGACTAATTGAAAGAGCGCCATTTATCATGGGTACTCTCCTTAACACCAAAGGACGAAAGTAAAAATTTGTGTCGATTTGCATTGAAAAAGTTTTGATTGAGCGATCAGCAGTTCCAACAGTGGAAGTGCTCTGTGCGACCTCTATGCTCAATGTTGAGCGAGCAGCTGTTCCACGTTATTGTTAACAAGATTTGGTGATGCTGCAACATCAGACTTGGGCAATCAGTGCACCCAAGTTGAGAAACAGTTAGCCCCACTATGAAATTGCGCAGAACCTCTTTATTTAGTGCTTCTTATACAAGCGTTAAGAAATCTGAACGCTCAAGACTTTATCAGTGTGTATGTTTTACGAATTATAAATGCATGGTTTGTACCCCCTCCTCGAATTAAATTCAGGAGGTAAAACAATAAAATAACTAATTAAAAAATTTTATAACCAGGTATTTTTACTCCAGCAAGGCAGAAACAAAGCCAGAAATGCTCCATCACCCTCTAAATTTTTTTTATATCGAAAAAACCACCCTTAAATAGAAAAATTCAAATTTAAAAGTAAAAAATATTATATTACCGGTTTTTTTAAAAACAGAACCTTACTTGTATGTAGTTTTGCTCTTCTAACTCAAAAAAATAAAGCCATCATTGTTCCATCACCCTCTGAATTTTTTTAATCGAAAAAACTACCCTTAATCTGAAGAATCAAACTTAGGAGGTAATACAATATAATTATATTGTATTACCTCCTAAGTTTGATTCTTTGGTGGTTTTTTCGATTTAAAAAAATTTTAGAGAATGCGGAAACAAAGCCAGAAATGCTCCCTCATTCTCTAAAATTTTTTTAAATCGAAAAAACCACCAAAGAATCAAACTTAGGAGGTAATACAATATAATTATATTGTATTACCTCCTAAGTTTGATTCTTCAGATTAAGGGTAGTTTTTTCGATTAAAAAAATTCAGAGGGTGATGGAACAATGATGGCTTTATTTTTTTGAGTTAGAAGAGCAAAACTACATACAAGTAAGGTTCTGTTTTTAAAAAAAACCGGTAATATAATATTTTTTACTTTTAAATTTGAATTTTTCTATTTAAGGGTGGTTTTTTCGATATAAAAAAAATTTAGAGGGTGATGGAGCATTTCTGGCTTTGTTTCTGCCTTGCTGGAGTAAAAATACCTGGTTATAAAATTTTTTAATTAGTTATTTTATAGTTTTACCTCCTGAATTTAATTCTTCAGATAAGGGGTAGTTTTTTCGATTTAAAAAAATTCAGAGGGTGATGGATCAATACTGGCTTTATTTTATTGAGTTAGAAGAGCAAAACTGAATACATGTAAGGTTCTGTTTTTAAAAAAACCGGTAATATAATATTTTTTACTCATTAAATTTGAATTTTTCTATTTTAGGGTGGATTTTTCGATTTAGAAAAAAATTTAGAGGGTGAGGGAGCATTTCTGGCTTTGTTTCTGCCTTGCTGGAGTAAAAATACCTGGTTATAAAATTTTTTAATTAGTTATTTTATTGTTTTACCTCCTGAATTTGATTCTTCAGATTAGGGGTAGTTTTTTCGATTTAAAAAAATTCAGGGGGTGCTGGATCAATGCTGGCTTTGTTTTTGAGTTAGTAGAGCAAAGTTTCGTAGATGTGAAATTCAGTTTTTTAAAAAAATAAGATGATTTAATTTTTATCTCCGAAGTGTGAATTTGTCCGTTTAAGGGTGGTTTTGGTCGATTTAAAAAAAACTGAGGGTGATGGAGCAATTCTGAGCTCAGATTCGGTTTCAGCGGGCCAAAATACTATAGGAAATATATGTCTAGTTCAAGAAACAGACAACTTTTTTTTGTGTGCCTGTGTAGAGGATCGAGGAGCTATGAATATTTCTTTTCATTTAGAAATTGAATATAATAATTATTGAGATTTTATATATCCTCCTTTTTATTAACAGGATTTTTTTGTAAATTAATAAGTATCATATCTGATATTAAACGTTTTTTTTTATTTACTTTCTCTGTCTAGTATTTTAAAATTTTTCCAATCAAAATTGTGTATGTAAGAATTATTGTGTGTAGCAATTACATTATTTTTAGAGTTTCTATGTTCTTTAATACGAAGACCAACCATTCTTTTTGATTGTGCATACAACATAAGATAAAGGCCAATTTTTACAATTAATTTTATAAACAGTATTAGTATTTTCATCTTTTTTGTTTTTATCTTTGCCTTTTTTAACTAAATTGTGGTGCATGTTATTGTTTTTACAAGGAATGGATAAAATGCTATACTTTTTTTTAGATATGAGGAAGTTTTTTCAAAAAAGGTTGGGAACGTAAGGTAGAAAAATCTTTGGTATCATTGTATATAAGGTATTATTCTTTTTTGTTATAGGATATTGAAAATTTGACTCAATAGAATGTATACGTTTAGTTATGTTTTTATTTATAAATTCTGATGGGAAATTGTTTTTAGTAAAATGTCTTTGACCAATTCAATGTTTTTTGCATGGAATTTTTTGTCAGAGATGCTCTATCAATTAGATTATAAATTATAGCGATTTTTTGGTTAAAAGGGTGGTTTGAGTTATAATTGATGGTTCTACCAGAAAATGTGGGTTTAATGTACCAGTCAGTAGTAAGTTGATTATTTTCGTCAATGATAATAAGAACATCTAGAACGTTAATAGTATTGTTGTTTTGAATTTTATAAGTGAATTGCAATCTTCCGTCATAATTATTATAAATATTGATCATTTCATCAACTTTATCCATTGGTATGCAAGTGATTATATCAGCAACATATCTGTAGGAAAAGGATGGTTAAAAAGATAATCTATCATTACAACAAGTTTCAAGGTCTTCCATGACAATATCAATATGTGGAACATGTTCTTGCACATGATCATTTATGTTTTTTAAATAAAATTTTAAAAATTTAAAGGCTGCGCAGTAGTTTTCTTAAGCCTTTACAGCTGCGCAATAATTTTTAGCGTGCATAAGTGAAGAGTCTTAATAATTATAAATTATTAAATTTTCACATTTTTTTCAAAAACATTTTTAAATAAATGTTCTTATACAAGAACATAAACGAGTTCATGTAAAAGTACTTGTACATGAAACCTGCACAAAAATATGTACAAGAACATGTACATTTTCTTGTACAAGTATATTTTCTTGTCCAGGATCTTGTACAAGTTCTGATACAAGAACATGTCACAATTCCGGATACTGAACTTGTTCCAGAAAATTACTTGAACATGTACAAAAAAATGTACAAGTTCATTACTGAATATGTACAAGAACTTGCACATTTTCTTGTACAAGTTTTTTCAGCCGGGAAGTTTATTTCTAATATCATTAGAAATTTCATTGTTTAAATTCTAAGATATAATGAAATCTACGGCTTTATATAGTTAATTGTTGTGTTCATGTTTTTATTTATGTCATCAATATTAAAATTAAAATTATTGCCTAATGATATGAAGTTGAAAACATTGTCAGGAATTGAAGTATTTGAAAGATTTAAAAACCAATTCGGTTGTGCATTAAAAGGATTATTATTAGTGTCAATATTGAGTCTGTCATTTTTTAAAAAATTGAATTTTTGTTTGAATGTTTTTTACAACCATTAATATAAGATGTATGTTGTTGATTATGTTTGCAATAAATAAGAGGAGAAGAATTCAAAAAAGTGTTATCAATAACAGTCACACAATTTTGATTAGAAAAATTTTAAAATACTAGACAGAGAAAGTAAATACAAAAAAAACGTTTAATATCAGATATGATACTTATTTATTTACAAAAACATCCTGTTAATAAAAAGGAGGATATACAAAATCTCAATAATTGTTATATTCAATTTCTAAATGAAAAGAAATATTCATAGCTCCTCTATCTAATTTGATTACCTTGACATATCTCTTACTTTATTTTCTATTAACTGATGCGGTCATTCACTTCATCACAACTGATTCTATATACTTCGAAAAAATGTTATATTTATTTTACCAGTGTCAAATCAAAACTGCTATGACATAGACGTTAGTCTTAATTTTTCACCGGTAATTAAGTTTTATGTAATTTTCATAACAAAAATTATATGTAATTGTAATGTAATCAAAGATTGGGATGATCATGATGTTGCCTATCATTGGCTGCTAACAATAAGACAAAAAACGGATTCTCAAAAACTTGGTTATTAATTGGCTACAAAGATTGGACCAGTATTGGAAGCTAATCATTGGTTTTTAATAACTGTTTAATATTAGTAGATTAGTAATATTTCTTATAATATAAGAATCGCTCTTTCAAATTTCGTAATGAATGTTAACTTATGTTTATAAGTAAATAATTTGCAGCAGTTTTTTAATAAAATACACGATTTCTTAGTTTTTTTTATTTGTAAATTTTTTTGGGTACGTTAACTTAAAGGAATATTTATTTAATTTTATTTGAAAATGGCGACTAAAATAATTTTTTTTGTCAATTCGTAGTAGAG